TTGCCTAAGTTAGCTAGACGAGATTCTGTTGCTTGCAACCAGAGCACCTCAACTGGAACCAGCACCGGGAACTTCTTGAGGAGCAAAGGAAACCATATCCTTGTAAAGGCACGGTGCCCAGGGCCCGAGAGGCTTGGAAAGCCCTGCTGCTTGGGGAAGAGAGTGGAGTTGGAGCCAACCTGAGATAGGAAGAGGACGTGGGAAGAGCGGCAAGGCTGCTTGATGCTAGGGAACCTGGAGGGGACAGAGGAGGCAGTGAAGACCAGTGCCAACAGCCAGCTGAGAGCCCCTACATGACCAGGTGGAGAAGGCAGGTCTTGGCTCTGCTTCACACTCTTCATGATTTGCTTGTAAGAAATTCTCTAGTTAAAACCTCTTTGGTTATTTAGATGAGGTTAGAGGAGCTAAGGAGGAGGGGAGATGGACAAGGAAAGGAGCCTGGAGGGTCTGGTCCGCACCCAGGTTGGCACAGCTGGCACACCGACTGTGCTGACTGAAGATACCTAAGGAGCTGTGAGTTCCGTTGGCGCTGACGGTTGCAGTAGTCACATTAGGACTGTCAGAGAGGGCGTGGAGGTGTCTGGGTGAAGCTACACCTGGGCTTGGCTTTAAGTACTCCAGACAAGTGGGACGCCAGGGTGAGTAACTCCAGCCCTGAGCATCTCCCCAAGCCTCTTCCTCCCTCCGCGTCTGGTGAGCCAAGACCTAGGGGCTGCCCAGATGCAGCCTCTGCTCCAGCTGGTCCTCAAGTCCTGCCTTTCCTATAATCAACCCTGGCGCCTCCTTTTCAGGTCTCGCTGCTCACCCCCACTCCCTATCTTTGCCCCATTATAGTCAGAGTCCTGGGCAGACAGAAGGCTGCCTGGGCCCAGTGGTGCTCTCAGCCGTGCAAGACCCAAGTCTGCCCGAGGCCACACCCTGGCTGTCCTGCTCTTGAGGCTGCTGGCCAGCTGGGTGGTTTATCAGTCATCATAGGCAAAGGACCGGCCTCGCTCGGGTTTAATAGGAACCAGCAGATTTGAGGCACCAAATCCTGTGGGTGGAGCCCACTGAAGTAGCTGCTTAAATTCTTAAAATCAGCAGGGAAATGTGGAAAAGATGCAGTGACACGTTCTGCCCGTCTTTCTATGAATGGAGCAGATCCTGAGAGCAGCCTGGAACTCCGTGATGTTTCCAGGGATTTTATGTTCTTACATTTGAGGGTCATACCTTTGAGTCACTGTCCCAAGACTGCCCCCAACATACTGCAATACAGTTCATGCTCACAGCCAGAGCCCAGCTCCTGTCCTCCCCAGGCCTCCCTCCCAGCCTTTCCCAGATTGGCAGAGGGCGTCCCTTGCTGGGTTACTCAGGCCACTGTCTGGGCCCTCTGATAGACTTGTTTTCAGGTCAGCAGCCACATGGAGCCAGCAGCAAGACCTCCTCATTCCTGCCTCAGGGCCTTTGTACCTAATTCTCTTTCCAAGAGAATCATGGGGTTTGCTCCCTTAATTTTCTCAGGTCTCTACTCAGACACTATTTTACCAATGAAGCGTTCCCTGCACACTTGGAGTCTACAGTTGAAACACCCAGTGCCCTTCTACACCTCAGACTCCTACCCCTCATCCCAAAAGAAAAATGAAAAGGGCTTCCCCCTCTTGGCAGACAGCTCTGTCCCTCCTGGTTGTCCCATGGTCAGTCAAGGTCAGCACACTCTAGTCCTGGCTCCTTGGGAGTCTGAAGCAGGAGGATGACTTGGGCATAGCCTGGTCAACATAGTGAGACCTCATTTCCTAATAAAAAACTATGCTTAAGTGGCAAGTGTCTTTGAACCCAATGTGGCATTGCTTTGTGTTGGTGGCCCCACTTAGGCCAGATGTTTGATCACAGGGGGCTTAATCCATGCCTACCAAAGGCCTGGTGGCTCTGGTCAGGAAAACACTGCAGCCGTGGTCAGTAACGCTAGTTCAGATGATAGGCAGCTGCCTCACTGTGTTTTCTCTAGAAAAGTCAACCCCAGGTCAGACTGAGTTTTCTCTGGGCAACTGGAGTTATTTTAAAACATATTATGGGATACTCATGTACACCCAAAGAGTGTAAGCATCGTGAATTAGCACAACCCGGAAAGCCGCTGGGCGTCGCCTCGACCTTCAGGTCTGCTCACAGGTCATCTCTAGAGCAGGGGTCAGCAGACTTTGTCCAGGAAAGTCTGCTGGAAAACGCAGCGGCACTCACAGCTCCTTAGGTATTTTCACAGTCGGCATAGTTGGTGTGCCAGCCATGCCAGCCTGGGCACCGGCCAGAAGCAGCTCTGCTGGACTGCTTTGGGCCCTGCCGGCCACAGGTGTTTTGCAACTCTGTAAATCTGCAGCAAGCTCTGGCCCAACCTAAGCAGAGGACAGCCCGAGGCCCAACCTAAGCAGAGGACAGCCATGATCCGATAAAATGCTACTCGTAGAGTCTGAAGTTTGATTTCACTAGAAAGTTTTCTCATGTTATAAAATATTGTTTAAAAAGGCAAAAAAACATTCTTAGAACACAGGCCATTCAAGTACAGGACCGGGTGACATTGGCCCAGAAACTGTAGTGTGCAGAGCCCTGCTCCAGGCGTCCCTTGGACCTTGCGGGGAGAGGGGTGCTGCAGTCTACTCCCACCCCCCACGTGGCTAGCTGGCACTTGAGATGTGGCTGGCATGGCCAAGGAACTGAAGACTTAATATTATTTTAATGTGAATTTAGCCAAGCGGCTCCCACCTTGGGCAGGGCGGTCTGCGGGTCCTGCATGTGAGCAGCAGGCTTGCACGGAGCTGCCTGACTGTGCTGTGCCTGTGCGGCAGAGTCCTGGGACTGCAGTGTGTTGACGTGATGGAGAGCGCTTGCTCTGTGACGGAGAGCGCTTGCTCTGTGACAGCAGCGGTGCACCCCACCTGTTTTGCCCTGCAGGCTCTGGCCACCGAGTGGCAGTGAGAGTCACCAGCCGTTCTTGGCGGTCCACAGGACGAGTGAGTCTTAGGTGCCCAGGCTGAGAGGAAGCAAGTCATAAAACACTGCAGACTACATGACACCATATTAAAACCTTTAAAACACAAGAAAATGGAGCAGTGTTGTTCAGGGGAGTCCATGGTGACGTTCGGAAAGGAGGGGTGCTTAGGGGCACTCCCTCTGGCCGAGGAGGAGGTGGGCTGTGCCTGTGACGGCTAGGCTGGTTGGGGCTGGATGCTGCTCATCTCCAGGTCATGGGGAGGCTGGCAGGGTCGGTGTTGACCTTGGAGAAGGGAGTTCTCATGGAGCAAAACTAATGGCCGGTTCTGCCTGGCCTCTGCCCAGTGAGGCTGGTGTCCATCGCAGAGGGCTGTTGGTCGCCTTGGTTGGGTGCTTAGATGGGAAGACCTGGCTATTTGTCAGAACAAAGGGTAAAACCTTTGGCTCCAGGGGGGCTGGGGTTGTAGCTCAGTGGTAGATTGCTTGCCTCCCACGCATGAGGCCCTGGGTTCAAACCTCAGCACCACATAAAAAAAATAAATAAAAGTAAAAAATAAAAAACCTTTGGCTCCAAATGTCGGTTTCATTAAACCTAATGATGAGGGGAACATTACCAGAACCCAGCTAAGAGAACAGCTGGGAAATGGAAACACATAATCATCATCAAAGTATCACTAAAAGGAAATCCTGAAGACACCTGGGGGTGTCAGGCCAGCTCCCACAGCCTTTCTCCTGAGTAGCTCCCGGTAAGTGGGCTCAGCCTGTCGCTGAGGACRGGTCTGCAGTGGCAGTGCCAGCATCTGGCACCGAGTGTATTGTAAATCGTGTGTCGAGCTTTTCAATATGACGTGTTCATCTTTGACTTTATTTCCTTATTGTTCCGTCTTCAATCTTTCCTGAGTTACTGACATGGGTTTATCTTTTCTCCCTTTAGAGAGTTTTGAGGTGACAGTCACCAAAGAAGGTGATCAAGGGTTCTTTGTTTCCCTCTACTGAATATTAACCCACTAACTTTGTTTTTAAAATTGGGAATCAGCCCTTAAACAGAAGCAACTGTCATGCTCCTTTGCCCCTTTATTCTCCTACTCTGTTGCTATTTTAAAATGTATTGATGGAAATTGTGTGTAGCCAGACCTTGGCTAGAAATATCTGGAAATCAGACATCCATTTGAACCACACAGACAGCACCGTGCATTTTTTTTTTAATTCAACCTCAGAGATTTGCCTCATAACAATTTTCTATTTGTTAGTCATGGAGGAATTCAGTCTTATTTTTGTGTGAAATATGTTTTGTGGAGTTTCGTGTACATGTCAGAACATTCACGCGTGTTCTCCCACGGGCCCATGTGGAGACGTGCCCTTGAGCTCCTCACGACGCTTCTGAGCCAGTGTCGCTGTGGTTGGTCCCTGGCTAGGTCTCTCTTCAGGTGTGGTAGGATAAAGGGAACCTAGCCGAGCTCTCAGGACAGAAGCCGGTGACGGCTGTTGAAATGGATGCCTGAAAGTTGGTATTTCTACCTTCTCCAGCGGCTTGTTTTGATTCCCTAATTTTAGCCAGGCTCATTGCACAGGAAGACTTGGTTCTTATGATTTTTTTTCTTGACAGAATTTCTGTATTACGGTGCTGGTCCTATATCTCACACTTCTTCCTCTCTCAACACTTAACTGCTTTTTATCCTCTCTCTGGTCCAAATCCAAAGAGCTGCCGCCTCGGGTGGCCGGGAGCCCTGGTGCTCAGGCCTGGGCTCTTGCTAAAGAGACTCCTCAGTGCTCCTGTGGAATGCCTGTCTCTGTCTCCTCTCTGTGTTCCTGCATGAATGGATGCAAAGTAAACAAGTTGCTTGGAAAGCCAGATTGCTTTTTTTTCTTTTTACTAAAGCCCCCGAACTCACCCGTGTTAAAGCACAGTGCCCCCTGCTTTGTCCACGGACCCTCCAAACCCCCTGGCTGCAAAATTGTTTATTTTCTCTGGGGGAGGTTGGCATGTGCCGTGGGTTCCCATGACAGCAGTTCTAACCTGCTCTGCTTTGACTCCCCAGGTGAGATTTGTGGCTTTAAAATTCACGGGCAGAATGTCCCCTTTGATGCAGTAGTAGTGGATAAATCCACGGGTGAGGGAATAATCCGCTCGAAAGAGAAACTGGACTGTGAGCTGCAGAAGGACTACACGTTCACCATCCAGGCCTACGACTGCGGGAAGGGCCCCGACGGCACTGGCGTGAAAAAGTCTCATAAGTAAGCAGGCCGCAGTGGGAGAGCCCCAGAGAGCGTGCACGTGAGGAGGAGGCAGCCCTGCCGTGTTCCCAGACCGCCCCTGTGTAGGGATTTAAGGCAGAGGCACCCTCAGGGGTCTGCGCTGTGTCAGGGTTGGTCCGCCCTCATGCACAGCTCCTAGCCAGAGCCCACCATGTACCGTAGCAGGTTCTGAAAAATAAATGAATGAGTAATTTTATCCCACCAAATTCTCTGTTAAAGAAACAAGGCCCGGGCTGGGGAGGTGCCTCAGTGGTAGAGTGCCCCTGGTTCAGTCCCCAGTGCCACAAAAAAAGRGGGGCAGGATTGGTAACCTTTTGGTAAAAAACAGAACAAAACCCCAAAACCCAGCTTTCCCCCCCCTTTGTCCAGAGCAACTGTCCACATTCAGGTGAACGATGTGAATGAGTACGCGCCCGTGTTCAAGGAGAAGTCCTACAAAGCCACGGCCACGGAGGGGAAGCAGTACGACAGCATCCTGAGGGTGGAGGCCGTGGACGCAGACTGCTCCCCGCAGTTCAGCCAGATCTGCAGCTATGAGATCGTCACCCCGGATGTGCCATTCACCGTGGACAAGGATGGTGAGCATAGGGGCTGCCCAGAGCAGGGCCCCGGCCTGGTGGCCTCATGTTCCGCCAGCCTGTAACTGCTGTGCCTCAGCCTCCACTTTTACTCTGTCCTGGCGACCTTGGTCTCAGCCCTTTTGTAATGCTGCTGGTGGATGTTGCTTGCAGCCAGGCAGGACAGACTGCGGGTCAGTGGTCTCCAGCCTGAGCTTCTTCCTGGATTGGCCTTGGTGGCTTAATGCACTTGCCATTCGTGTTTCATTCGAGGACGTGGACCAGAGTGACGATGGTTCTCTGTTGTTCTTTCTCCACTGCCAGGTTATATAAAAAACACAGAGAAGCTCAACTACGGCAAGGATCGTCAGTATAAGCTGACCGTCACAGCCTATGATTGTGGGAAGAAAAGAGCCACGGAAGATGCTCTGGTGAAGATCAGCATCAAGCCCACCTGCACCCCTGGGTGGCAAGGTGAGCGGCAGTCTCCCTTCACCCTCAGGCCTGTTCTGGAAACCTGGGTTCCGCGGGATCCTAAGTATGTGTTTCCCTTCTTTCCTCCCTCACCAATGGTCACCCAGGCTGGAGTGACCGGGTGGAGTACGAGCCTGGCACGGGCACCTTGGCTGTGTTCCCAAACATCCACCTAGAGACGTGTGCCGCGCCGGTTGCCTCCGTGCAGGCCAYTGTGGAGCTGGAGACCAGCCATATCGGCAAGGGCTGCGACCGAGACACCTATTCTGAGAAGTCCCTTCACCGGCTCTGTGGTAAGGAGGCCTGTGTCCCCAAGCTGCCCTTCCCCAGGGAGGGTGAAAGACGCTGCAGCAGAACCCTTGTGTGTTGTGGGATAGTGATGAGGGGAACAGATTAGCTTCCAAAATGGCTTTTGCTACCTTGCTGGATGATGTTCACCCCGGATGGGCTCCAGGGAGTGCGTAAGCCCTAGAAGTCCATCCAGGATGCTAGGTGTGCGTGCATCTAAGAACCATGGAGTTGAAGATAGTAACATACATTGAGTCATCCAAATAAGGGTGACACAGGAATGAGCCAGACCTGGTAGCATGCTGTGGTTGAGGCAGAAGGATCCCTTGAGCCCCAGAATTCAAGGCCATCCTGGGCAATAGAGCAAATTGTAGTCTCAAAACAAGGTTTGGTGGTCTCATCTATAATCCCAGGGACCCCCGAGGCTGAGGCAGGAGGATCAGATCAGCCTGGACAACTTAGGCCCTATCTCAAAACAAACAATAAAAAAGCAAAACCAAAGTATCAGAATTGTTAAATGGCAAATAAGTGGAAGGAGAGAATTACACTCTGCCGGCATGCCTGTGAGGAGGACACAGGTGTTCATGTCTCTGAGCCCAAATGTTCACAGTCATGTATTTAGGTGGTTGTAGACTAAGAGGCTGGAGACATTTTACATGTCAAACTCTGCATATCTGCATAGCATGCAAAACTTGTTTCCTTTCTCCTAATGCCACTGTTTCTTGTGGTATTAAATCCACATCTTCTTAGTAGAACAGCTGAAAGGCAGAATAGGAAGGATTTAATTTTTAAATTCAGGCATGCGTTTTACCCTATGCTAGGTACTTCATGTGGTTTTAACTTAGCCTTCCCAATAGGCCCACTGAGTAGGCGGCATTGACTGTGTTTTTACGGAGGAATCAATTGAGACCAAGGGAGGTTAAGTAGCTCGTCCAGTGACACGTTTCAGGAAATAGCATAACTAGGATTTGCATTGAGATCTCTGGTTACTCAAAAGACTAGGCCAATCCAGACCAACCACACAGGGGTCAAGGACCAAGCAACCAAGAGAGTGTGAAAGATCTTTTTCAGTACACAAACTTAAAAGAAAATTTGGGGGCTGGGAAAAACCACAGTGGCACAGTGCATGCTTAGCTTGTGTGAGGCCCTGCTCTCCATCCCCAGAACCCAAAAGAAAAGAAAAGAAAAACAACACCTGACCTTGGCAGTACATGACGACAGTTGTAGAATCATTTCCTATTCTTTGACTTGGTAATTCCATTTCTGGAATTTATCCTTGGAGCATAATCATGGGGCCACACAGATGCTCATCAAGGAGAGGCTGATGATGGGAAGGAATTGGAAACAGCCTCGGTGTCCCCAGGGAGAGGGGCTAAGTGACAGCAGCCTACCTGTTTAAAATCAGGCTGTAGAAGAAACTGGAGGGGTGGGCGGGGGCGTGGGGGTGTGTGGGTGTGTTGTGTGCATGGCAGGCCTCGTTCTTAGCAGAGCTGATTGCATGTGTGCGCTCTTCAAGGAGGCCTCTCTAATGCTGGTACCCCAGTGCTGTGCGTACTTGGGTGGGTAATTAACAGTCCTTCATTTGTGAAGAAGAGTAAACCAGGACCAGCAAGTCGTCCAGCAGCAGATGAAGCCAGCTTCTTGGAGTGGCTTGGCCCCCTGGAGCTGTGGGCATACGCTGAACTGACGGTCAGTGTGGTGTGGTTTTAGGGGCTGCCACTGGCACTGCCGAGTTGCTCCCTGCCCCCAGCAGCTCGGTGAACTGGACCATGGGCCTCCCCACGGACAACGGCCACGACAGCGACCAGGTGTTTGAGTTCAACGGCACCCAGGCAGTCAGGGTCCCCGACGGCCTTGTTTCTCTCAGCCCCAGAGAGCCCTTCACCATCTCCGTGTGGATGAGGCACGGGCCTTTTGGCAGGAGGAAGGAGACGATTCTTTGCAGTTCAGACAAAACAGGTAGGTTTCKTTTCTGAAGACACTGCTGCTGTCCAGGATCTGGGGGGTGGCCTCTGGAGGCAGGTGCCCTTCCTTCCCAGAGCCTCAGGCGAGCTGGTCGGTCTACGGACACCCTTTGTGCCAGGGGCACTTTGTCCTCTAGAGACCCTGTCAGCATTCAGGGCTTCATTAGTTTTGCTCGGTGGATTATCGTCAGCAGTTACCATGGGCACAGTTGCTCAGTGATGCCTGAGTGTATTTGTTCCTAAACCCTCCATGGCCCATCTGGAGGGTTCATTTATGCAGATAAAGTTGTGTCTTCAGAATAAATTAAAGAAACAGCTGTGGTTCCTCTCGAGGATCTTAAGTTGGCATTTTACCCAAAGAAACTGTCTTGCAGATATGAACCGACACCATTATTCCCTGTATGTCCACGGGTGCCGGCTGGTTTTCCTCCTCCGCCAGGATCCTGCTGAGGAGAGGAAGTATAAACCTGCAGAATTTCACTGGAAGTTGAATCAGGTGAGCAAAGAAAGACTCATCAATTACATTTTTTTCTCTTTCCACATTTTTTATTGGTGTGGTATAGTTGTATATAATGGCATTTGTTGTTACATATTCCTACATGTACATAAATAGTATAACCATGTAATTTGGTCAAAATTACTCCCCAGTACTTTCTCCCTCCCTCTCTGTCTCCCTCCCSCTTTCCTCTACCCTACTGTTCTCCCTTCAATTTTCATGAGACCCACCCCCCTATTTTTTCCTTTCTCTCCTTCAGCTTTCACATACGAGAGAGAATATATGACCCTTGACCTTCTGAGTTTAACATAATGGTCTCAAGTTCCCTCTATTTTCCTGCAAATGACATAATTTCATTTTTCCTTATGACTGAATAAAACTCCATTGTGTACATACGCCACATTGTCTTTATCTGCTGTAAACATGTGTCGCTGTAGTAAGGTGACTAATTTTTCAGGATAAATACCAAGGAATGGAAATAGCTGGGTCATAGGATTCCATGCCTAGTCTTTTGAGGAACCTTCATAGTGATTTCCGTAGTGGTTGTACTAGTTTATAGTCCCACCAACAGTGTAAAAGTGTGCCTTTTTCTCTGTGATCTCTCCAGAATTTATTATTATTTGTATTCTTGATGACCACCATTCTGACTGGTGTGAGATGAGGTTTCAGTGTAGTTTTGATTTGCATTTCCCTAATTGCTAATGATGTTGAACATTTTTTCATTTATTTGTTGCCCATTTGTGTTTCTTCATTTGAGAAGTGTCTGTTTAATTCATTTGCCCATTTATTAATTAGGTTGGTATTTGGTGTTGTTTTTTTTTTTTTTTTTTAATAGATTCTAGGTATTAATCCTTTGCCAGGAGAGTAATTAGCAAAGATGTTCGGCCTTTCTGCTGGTTCTCTCTTCGAATTCTTGTTTCCTTTACTGTGGGGAAGCTTTTTAATTTGATGCCTTTCTCACATGTTAACTCTTGGCATTATTTCCTGAGCTTTAGGTGTCTTACTGAAAAAGTCATTGCCTGTGTCCACATTGGGGTGTTGACCCTCCGTTTCCTTCTTGGAATTGCATGGTTTCTGGTCTAATTCCTAGGTCTTTGATCCATTTTGAGTTGATTTTTGTGCAGGGTGAGAAATAAAGGTGTAGTCTGTTTCTTCCACATATGGTAACCAGTTTCCTCAGCACCATTTGTTAAAAAGGCTGTCTTTTCTCCAATATTATGTTTTTGGCATCTTAATTGCAATTTTTAAGAGAAACTAGCTACTGCAACCTTGCACGTGGCTGGTGTAAATAGTCAGAAAAAAAAATACATACATATATATATGTATATATAATATTTCTTATTATATATAAATGGATTTTTAACTTTATTTATTTGTGGTGCTGAGGATCGAACCCAGGACCTCACACATGTTAGGCAAGCGCTCTACCACTGAGCCACAACCCCAGCCCTAGTCAGAATATATTTATGATTTTATTTCTGTGTCTGTGGTTAAAAGGATAGTAAATTAAATCTCTTTAACTCCTTTTCACTGAAAGCCTCAAGTTTTTTCCATGTGTGTATTTATATGTATAATATTGATACAAAAATTGCACATTTTAAATTCAACATACTGTTAGATAAGGAGCACTTGCTGAAAAATTGGATTGAGATACTTGTATTTGTTCACTCGTTCATTATTTAAGGCCTAGGCTCCCAGATCATGCTGAGGACCCCCAGGGTGACAGAGCTGCTCGGTGGCCATTCAGCAGTTTTGGCACCACAGCATGTGTTGAACTTTCAAGCAATTTTGACATCTGTCAAATCCGCCTGAGCCACTAGCTTGAGTGGTAAACAGTTTTGATATTAGATCATATCCCATTCCTTTGATGATGTTGTTTCTCTGCAAAGCTAATTTTCCAATAGTTGCTGTGATAAAAAGCAAATATTACATACACAAAAATCCAGGTGTTACAAGAAATGAGAGGACACTGTCGTCTGAGAGAGCCTTCTCAGAATCAGAGCTGACCATTTCTTCTCTTGATTCAGGACTGGACAAGAAGGGAATCTTTGGCCAGTCCCTATTGTCCTAGCTTGATTTTATTTAGCTCCTGGAGTTCATGGGCAAAGGCTGGCCTGGTTAGACGCACCTGTGATTGCTCAAATATAATGTCGTCTAAAAGAACTGCAAGATAAAAATAGAGAAGCTTGAGTGAGGGCAAGGCCACCTAAGCAGCACTGACTAAGGGCTCAGTTGGTAGAGTGCTTGCATAGCATGCACAAGGCCCTGGGTTCAAATCCCAGCACTACCTAAAAAATTAAAAAAAGAGCATTCAGAAGCTTGAGTGAGGAAGGGTGTGTGACTGTGGAGGGGGTGTTCAGTTGGTGAATTCACCTCTTCCTGGTGTAATTGTTATTTACATAAATAATTATATTTTTTCAGAAGCTTTTACTGTTATGTTTTCTAAGAAACTAAAGAAAGGTATAATCTGGAAAAATACTTTTTTCGCATAAATAGATATTTTAGGCATGTTTCTGTTATAGTAATCATAATTTGTGTTTCATGTTTAGTTTCTTTTGATTACATATTTTTTAAAAATTAATCATGAAAAATTTTAGACATGTAAAAGCAGACAGATTAGCATACAGAGCAACCCTGCAAACCCTCTGGCCGTGGCCAGCTCCCAGTCAATCTTGCTTCATTGTTCCTCCCCTTCACTGTTAATTTTTGTCAACCTCCTCAAAAACAGCTTAATAATTTTCAAGAAATCCAAGGCAGGCCGGGTGTGACGGCACATGTCTGTAATCCAGGGACTCAGGCATCTGAGGCAGGAGGACTGTAGGTTGCAGGCAGAGGGGGGCTGGGCAGCTCCCCTGTCCGGGGCCTGTGCCCCAAGGAGAGGGAAGTACCCTAGAGATGATGCTCTGTCCCTGTTGGTGACATTTGAAGAACACTTCATCACTAAACTTTTTTAAGAAATCATTTTTAGTTGTAGATGGATACAATATCTTTCATTTATTTTTATGTGGTGATGAGGCTTGAACCCAGGGCCTTACAAGTCCCAGGCAAGTGCTCTGCCACTGAGCCCCAGCCCCAGCCCTCATCACTAGACTTCTAAGTCCTTCTCTTGTTGAGGCAGCCTGTATTCACTCCTTACCCCGCTGTGCTGCTCTGTCCACAGCTATGGACAAGAGGGCAGGTTGACAGCTTGTGCTTCCTTGGCTTCTGGTAGGTCTGTGATGAGGAGTGGCACCACTTTGTCCTCAACGTGGAGTTCCCGAGCGTGGCTCTCTACGTGGATGGTGTCTCTCACGAGCCCTTCTCTGTGACCGAGGATTACCCGCTCCATCCATCCAAGATAGAAACGCAGCTTGTGGTCGGGGCTTGCTGGCAAGGTAAGGGCAGTGCTCCCCAGGCCCAGACGTGGGATCGTGCCTCTGTGCTGCGCTGGTGGGAGTGGGCTCTTACCAGCTTCTTACACCCCGGACCCTGGTTTCTCATTTCCTTTATCTTTCCCTTCCTCCTCCTGTGCGTAGCCTTTCTGGGGACACTGTTGTGTCATGCTACAGCACAGCCCGTCCAAGGTACTTACTCCGTAAAGGTGACTGTGAGCCCAGCACACTCCATCACCCTCCCATTCACTGGGAGGGAGCAACACGGAGGGAGTGTGTGGTTGTGGGAATTGCTTTACAAGTCATCTTCTCACTGAAGTTACAAGAACAAAGGAGCAACAGTCAGCGATCAGGCGCAGACAACATAGAGGACTCGGAAATCTCTGGGCTGAGGGACTCTGCCAAGTTCTGAGCGTTTGACAGGCTGGTAGGAACCTGGTCAGGGAACTGCTCTTCTGGTGTGGAGAGCTTTCTGTGGGGCACATGGCGTGGCGTGACCCCCACCAGAGCGGCCGCACCACTCCCTCCTGTTTACTTGTGCAGGCTGTGGGCCCTCTCCGTTATCTGCTACCTCTAGTAATCCTTAGGGTCTGCTTTGTAGCTAAAGAAACAGAGGCTCAGCCCAGGATTAGCCAGTGGGTAACCACGGAGCCAAGATGCAAACTGGGCAGCCAATGCCCTCAGCCTGTGCTCTGACCCACCAGACCTGGGCCTTTGAGCGTCTCCTATGAAGCTGAGCCTTTGCTTTTGCTGACGCCTGTGGGCCTCTAGTCTACAACACTCGGTCCCTAAGCCCCTGTGAAATCGAGAGAACCAGCTTACCTGAAATAATAGCCGATGTGCTGAGGAATTAGAGGTGAACATTTTGCCCATGGTGCTCTAGTAACCTGTGGAGAGTAAGCCTTAGTGGCAGGACCCGTAGTTCAAAGTTGAAGCGCTTTGTGACCATACTTTGATATCTGCAACTGCTGTGGCATGATATGAAAATATCGGTGATTTTTATTGATGACAAATTGCAGTTCTTGCTAAAAATGGTGTGGTATGTAGCCTACATTTATAACCAAGGGAAATGCCACATGTCAGAAGTTAGTGGAAATAAGCCTTAACTTTTTCCTCTCAAGTTCATGGACCCCTCAGTCTCCCCGGGGGTTCGTGTGCCCCTCTTGACTCCATTTCTTTTCATTTCAGGGCATCAACATCACTACATGGGGGGGGSYKGGGTTGTGGCTCAGCAGTAGAGCGCTCGCCTAGCATGTGTGAGGCCCTGGGTTCCATCCTCAGCACCACATATAAATAAATAAATAGAATGAAGGTATTGTGTCCAACTACAACTAATAAATAAACAAGCAAACAAACAAATAAATAAGCATCACTACATGTGCTCCCTGAACAGACCTTTGAATATTTTTTCCCTCTAAAAAATCAATAGGTTGACTGGGGTTAGGAACTTATTGGGGGCGGGGGGGGAGCCTAATTCACAAGACAGATTTCTTTTTTTCTTTTTTATTTTTTTGAGACAGGGTCTTGTTAAGTTGCTAAGACTGACCTTGAACTTGTGATCCTCCTGCCTCAGCCTCCTGAGTTGCTGGGAGTACAGGTGTGAGGTAACATGCCTGGCCAGATATACTTAGGAGAATGCAGAGTTCATAATTTTCTTGCAGGTTCTTYAAAGTGAAGAGTAGTAAGGCAGTGAAAATTGATATTTCTAGACTTTTCAGTTCAATGCTTCCTAGATTAAACAATAACTCCTGAATAATATTTTTAAAACTAAGAATAAAAACACAGGTGTGAACCTAGATGGGACTTCTCTCCTAGGAGCTTAGTTGCTGTGGTTAACATGGACCACCAGCCCGCGCTGCTGCCTTTGGCTCCTGTTCATGTCRTGGTATCTCTGCCCTCAGATAGAGATGACTTTTTATTCTCTCTTTTTACCTTACCCATCTCGGCATCCTTAGCTGAAAATTCACTTAAATTCCCAAACCAAACACACTCAAATCCTACAAAGTTGGTTAACAAGAAGGAGGGTGTCCTTTTTCCTTTTGGTGGGTAAGAAATGCTTCCCTTGATAGTTTACTGTGGAGAAAGCTGGGCCTGGGGCAGCAGCTGCATCTCCAGGATGGCAGTGTCACCTGTAAGGGTGCATTACAGGGGCCCTGTGTTGGATGTGGAGGCTGCGGAGGGCTTCATCTGAGCACAGGTCTAGCCTGGCACCTGACACCTCTCCCCCCTGCTGCACAGAGGTGCCTCAGTAGACTACAGAGACCAGTGTCCAGAGCAGCCCTGCTCCCCAAAAGCTGTCCTGAGGGCATTGGTCACACACTCAGCTGGGGGGCGAGCGCCCCGCCCTGCCAGGCCTTATACTCCACCCTAATCCATGTCTGTGGCAGCAGTGGCTGGTGTGTGCCCCAGGCTCACCATAGCTTGTGCTTCTCTGGGTGAGTTCCTCAACCTCTCCTCCGAGAAAGTGCTTACAAATATCTTTGTTGCTTAAAAGTCCAAACAGATGCGAACTTGTTTGGAGATTCCAAAAAGCACAGATGTGTGTTTACCACGCACCGGGCCTTGGACCCTTGTGTGTGCTGTCCCACTGTGTCTGCACAGAGACTGTCGCTATTTGGGAGCAGGGCAGAGCTCACATAGGGTGGCAGGTCACAGCAGTGCAGCGCTGCCTCTGTGCTCCTCTCCTTGGGTGCCCTCCTTGTGGCTGAGGATGATGGGATCTGTGAATTCCATGTCTGTGCTTTTATTCTTCATATTTAAATCTATTTCGTGTTGCAGCAGGGAGGATACGGGAAGACAGAATAGAAGAAGAAGAGTGAGGGGTGTGGACCTGGTGTCTGGGGACGGGTGATGGAGTGCCCGCTCGCACCCAGGTGGAAGCCTGCAGAGGGCTGAGGAGGGGCTTTCTCTTTGGGTTTTGTATTTGGATGCTTCAAAACTGATTTTCGCCATCCACTGTGAAGAGCCTAACCTGTCGGTCCTTTTCTGTTGTCTGTCTTGCTTTTCTACAGAGTATTCAGGAGTTGAAAATGACAATGAGACTGAGCCTGTGACTATGGCCTCTGCAGGTTGCTGGATTTTTCCCCCCTACAGTTCACTGTTTTGTTTCATTTAAAGATGAGACATTGATTCATTCCACGTGTCGCATGAAACACGCAAGTTGCATTTTGGTCCTGGCTGCCCTCTCAGCAGCTTCACTGCATTGTGCTCCCCACCCGCACCCTGCCTCATGATTCCCATGGAAGGGACGGCACGTGACTCATTCCCTCAATGCACTCATAGGCTTTTAGTTCTCATCAAGTTTATCTTGGTCCTGCTGCACAGGGATCCCTGCTGAATCTCCAGGCTGGGTTTGGGAGGCCACCGCATGGTACTCAGGCGGCTGAGCCACAAGACAGGAAAAGACTCTTCTAGACTTTCTTTCCTATTCGGTACTGAAGCTCAAATAACTATTTCTTAGAAATCTCAATCCCTAGTGATGGCTTGCCATGCCCAGTGTCTTTGTCAGACAAGACCCATGAAGGTCTGTCTCTTCTCCGTCACTTCAAAGCTGGTGTAGATTTTGGCTCTTTGTTCTAGTCCATCAGGGACCATTTGGTGGGCTTTTCTTTTCCTGGTCACGTCTCTGCTTCCTGGATATCTGCAGAAGTAGGAGACAGGAATGACAGGAATGACGGTGGCTTCCCGAAGGGCCTCCACAGGCCTGGGGCAGGGTACGGCTTCAAGCGTCCCTGTGTTCCTCCCCTGCTCGAGTGTATTCCTAGTTAGAGGAAGCAGCCCCCAGAGTGCTCAGCTGACCAGCAGGCAGGGGCTGTACTGGTAGGGAGTGTTGCCGGGCACCCTGGTGGTGGATGCAGGGTAGGCCACCATCGCCAGGGAGAGGCTGTGTGTGTGGGGACTCTGATGGGGCCTCTTAGTTCCTGGCTTGGGGTGAGGGACCCCCAGCTCCTCTCTTCTCCAGGCCACATGCATGATCACAATTTAATTTCTTCATTGCGCTTCCATGTAGATGGCAAGGCTAACAGGATTTGGTCAGAACTAACCTGCATGTCCATCCATCGAGCTGCCACCACCGGTAACACTGCATTGAGAAATTAACCAGGAGCGCCAGGGACATACGCCTGACTTTTTTCTTCTCCCCCCTGTTCCAAAGGTGGCGACTTACACATGACCCAGTTTTTCCGAGGTAACCTGGCTGGGCTAACGGTACGTTCTGGGAAACTCGCAGATAAGAAGGTGATTGACTGTCTGTATACCTGCAAAGAGGGGCTAGACCTACAGGTCCCTGAAGACGTCGGCAGAGGCGTGCAGGTAACACTGGGCGGCCACCTGGCCCACATTCATGGGCCCCTCAGGCACAATGGAGAGCCCAGTGGAACAGGCAGAACTCTAGGATGATGACGTTTGCACCTGAGTTGTTACCTGGAATTATACGAGCTTTTCAAGTCACCCGTTCAAATAAATCCAGGCTAATCCTCTGCCAGAGCAGCCAGGGCCTCAGCAGCAGCATCAGAGCCTCATTCCTCTTCTATCCCTTTGCTGTGATTTCAGATCCAAGTAAGCCCCAGCCAGTCGGCCATGACCTTGGAAGGAGACGACATCTCGGAGCTGGATAAAGCTCTGCAGCACGTCTCCTACTTGAACTCACGGCAGTTCCCCACGCCAGGCATCCGCAGACTCAAAATCACCAGCACAGTCAAGTATGTCCTGATTTCTAGAAATGAGCTCATTTTCACTMAGTGACAGTTGAGAGGAAATGTGTGCTTAGGTCGTAAGATGCCCTGGCCTCCCTTCTGTGAGGAAAGGCCAGCGCCACGCTCCCACATGGTGGGGTGGGAGGTCTGCTGATGGCTGTGGTTTGTGGAGGGCCATCATTCTCTGTCCCCAAGGTAGTGGGGACCCGTCCAGTCCCCCTCCACCAGCCTGAGGATTCCCAGGTGGCCTTCAGAGCCCTGACTGCCTCCTGTTTCTTGCTGGTAGGTGTTTTAATGAGGCGCCCTGCATTGCGATCCCCCCAGTCGAAGGCTACGTCATGGTTTTGCAGCCGGAAGAGCCCAGGATCAGCCTGAGTGGTGTCCACCGCTTTGCCCGAGCAGCTTCTGAGTTTGAGGGCTCAGAAGGGGTTTTCCTGTTCCCTGAGCTTCGAATCATCAGCACAATCACACGAGAAGTGGAGCCCGAGGGGGATGGCCCTGAGGACCCCACAGGTAGGCATAGGCAGCCTCCTCACCTTGCTGCTGTGCACATGCCCCCCGCTCTCCCTCTGGGGTTTGGGGGGCTCTGCCTGGGAGGGCTTCTGACTTGCCTGGTGTCATTGTGCTCTTTGGAAACCCACTCAGGGTCCTTTCCTCTTTCTCTGACTGATGTGCGGCTCTGAGATGTGTCTTTAGGCTCAGTCCCTAGGCGGACAGTGTTCCCACTGTTGTTGCCCAGGATTCATGAAGTACCTTCATTTGTTCTGTTTGTGTATTTATTTTGCACTGGGATCAAACCCAGGACCGTGTGTGTGTTAATAAGCACCCACTCTACCACTGAACCACACCCTCAGCAGCCCCCAGTTCTTAAAGGTGACTCTTCCTTACCTCTATTGCTGGTCCTTAAAAGGGGTTTGTGAGCTGGCTGTCCATCAGGGGGTGGCCAGCCTTGCTGGGCCCCACAGCTTGGTGACTTCTGGTTGGGCCATTTCTGCAGTTCAAGAGTCCCTGGTGTCTGAGGAGATCGTGCATGACCTGGACACCTGCGAGGTCACGGTGGAGGGAGAGGAACTGAACCCGGAGCAGGAGAGCCTGGAGGTGGACACAGCCCGCCTACAGCAGAAGGGCATCGAAGTGAGCCGCTCTGACCTGGGCATGGTCTTCACAGGTGAGAGAGGTGGACTGTGAAAGCCCTTGGCCACCTGGCTCCCACCATCTTCAAACACGAGGAGAGCCAGCACTGCTGCATACTGGCCCCCGCTGCACAGGAAGGGGACACACAGCACTAACTTACATGGGGCCAGCTAGCACATGCCCCGTAAATGCCCGCATGATCTGCCTTTGTCTCCTAATTGGAAAGCCACAAATATGTGGCTGCTGACTCAGCAGCCCAGGTGCCGACTTTAGCCACTGGGGCCCTGGCTCTGGCCCCACCCAGTTTCCTAACTCGAGCCACCTGACACTCTTCTCAACGCTGACCCTGCAGGTGTGGACACCATGGCCAGCTACGAAGAGGTTTTGCACCTGCTGCGCTACCGGAACTGGCATACCAGGTCACTGCTCGACCGGAAGTTCAAGCTCATCTGCTCTGAGCTAAATGGCCGCTACCTCAGCAATGAATTTAAGGTGGAGGTGCGTGTAGGGCTCCTACCCAGAAGAGCCAGCTCTGGTGGTGACGGAGGGCCCTGTGTCTTGGCCCTGATGTTGGCAGATGCCAGTCCTTAGCACAGTCATGGCAGCGAGAGGCTCATCCCAGGAGCGGCAGCCTTCTCCAGCCTGAGCCTACTGGGTGGACCTGCGCGGCCTGTCCTGATGGGTTGAGCTGGAGGCTGCTGCTCCCATCCACCCGCTGCTGCAGCCTGAGTCAGAGCTGAGAAGCTCTGTGGGGAGGTGATAGAGAGCAAGTGGCAGAGAAGGTGCAGGGAGGGACGAGATCGCTGTGTCAGGTTTTGATGTGAGACGTGAGGACACTCTTTTAGAAAGAACAGCAGCCGGGGAACTAAAGCATCTTTGTAGCTGTGCCAGGTCACTCTAGGTCACTGGCTCTGTTGAGAGTGAATTCGGGTCCTTGGGCTGATGCAGGGACACACCCCAGGGCTGAGGCTTCCCTGGCTGGCAGCGTCACTCAGGCAGGGCAGCATCCTGCTCTGAAGCCTTCAGTGGCCTCTGCTGTGGCTTCCTCATGGCTCGAGGCCTCTGTGGTCTGGGGAAATGGACCCAGAGTTATTCCTAGCAAATGACCATCTTCACCAGGACCTCAGTGGCAGCAGTGGACCACTTCACAATGTTGATGAGGATTTTATTTGAGCCAAAGGATAACTGGTTAGAAAGGAAACACACATGGGCTGGGGTGGTGGCTCAGTGGTAGAGCTCTTGCCTAGCATGTGGGAGGCACTGGGTTCGACTCTCAGCACCACATATAAATGAGCAAAGAAAATAAAATTCTATCAATAATTAAAATTTTAAAAAATTAAAAAAAAAAAAAAAAGGAAACACATAGTTACGATAGTGCCCTCTCCCGTGGCCAGGCTTGAGGCTAAAGGAGGAACGTTGTCTACCAAGCACTTGCTGGGTGGCGAGGCCCGGAGGCTGGTCTGCTGCTTGGCTCTGTGACTGGGCTATTTGATGAAGTGCACTGAACAGGGATCATTAGAGAAGTGCTGTTCTTGGATGTGGACATCAGGCTGTCACAGTGGTCTCTAGGAGCTCGCTCTTTGTTTTTCCTGCTCATGGACGGGGCACTATTGGCTTCCAGCAGGGCCAGAGGTCACTCTAAGTGGCACTGCTCATACCAGCTGCCACCCCGTTTCTTCCCTTGGACACACTCAGGACGCCCCTCCCAGTGCTCCTTTCTCTCCGTTGCAGGTGAACGTGATCCACACCGCCAACCCTGTGGAGCACGCCAGCCACATGGCCGCGCAGCCACAGTTTGTTCACCCAGAGCATCGGTCCTTTGTTGACCTGTCAGGCCACAACCTGGCCAATCCTCACCCATTTGCAGGTAGGATGCTGGAGGCACATGGGTGGAAACACTGAGTGTCACACAGGGCTCAAGTGGACACCCCTGCCCCACTTAGCTGTTCCCTGTCGCACTTGAGGAAATGAGAGCCCTCCCATAGCCACAGTGACCCGGGCAGAGCTATTTCCGGTGTTTCTGACTCCGGGGGTCAGGTGGAGTGTCCCGACCTCAGAGAGCTGAGGAGGATGGTTGGGAGGCCCTCTAGCTGGGCGACCTCTCTGAAGCCTTGTTTGTCCTTTCACTCCTTCGACAGTCGTCCCGAGCACCGCCACTGTGGTGATTGTGGTCTGCGTCAGCTTCCTGGTGTTCATGATCATCCTGGGGGTGTTTCGGATCCGGGCTGCACATCAGCGAACCATGCGGGACCAGGACACAGGGAAGGAGAATGAGATGGACTGGGATGACTCTGCCTTGACCATCACAGTGAACCCCATGGAGGTAGGAGCAGACCGGGCATCTCCATGTCTGTATGCCTGCGCCTTGCAACCGCACGCCTCTGTGAGCTAGGGTCCTCATATCCAGAGGGGTAGGCTGAGGCTCAAGGGGCCTTCCTGAGGGTCATACCACCTAGTAAGTGTAAGTGCAGAGAGAGCTGGCCCCAGGCTGGGGCTCCCTCCTGCTCTACCCAGAGACAGTTCTCCACCGAGGGACCCCAGTGCCCCCATCTTGGAGCTCTGCATGCCTCGACTCTGTGGGGGAGAGGCCACTCTCGGCAATGCCCAGGCCTCTTTCTCTGGCCAGTCTCTCTCACTGGGGGTGTCTCCCTTCTGCTRCTGCTCCTGGAGGGTGGACTCTGGGGATTGGGCCATGAGCTAGACTCATGCCTCTCTCTTTGTAGACCTACGAGGACCAGCACAGCAGTGAGGAGGAGGAAGAGGAAGAGGAGGAGGAAGAGGAAAGCGAGGATGGAGAGGAGGAGGAAGACATCACCAGCGCTGAGTCGGAGAGCAGTGAGGAGGAGGAGGGCGGCCCTGGGGACGGCCAGAACGCCAACAGGCAGCAGCAGCTGGAGTGGGACGACTCCACGCTCAGCTACTGAATGCACCCCGRGCGCCTGCGTCCCTGCCTCAGAACACCTGCCACCCTCTTCCAGCCCGTGGGTCCTCGATGTACAAAGTCACTTTGGCCAGCAGGTCTGCAGACCCCCTGTTGCTGATCGTCCTTCCGTGCCCGTGCCCAGTGTGTAGGACTGTAGGCTCCCGCCCTCTGCCCATCCCCGCTGGATCGCTCTCCCCTACGCCAGGAGCTGGCCCTTCCTCCCTGCCGCCTCCTGCCGGCACAGAGGCCACAGCACCACAGGCCCCTGCCAGCCGGTGAGACGCCCACCTCGCACCTCCAGAAGAGTTGCCGTGAAGGACTGTAGCTGACAGAGGTGAAACGCTCCTTCCCACCTGGAAATCATTTTTTCTTTTTAAAAAAAAGTTTTTATTTTTTCCAAACCTAGTGCATGTATAAAATGGCAGAATGGGTTAATATGTAGATGATCAACTGACTTTTTAATATTTTGTAAATAAATTGGGATTCTCTGTGTCCTTTGTGCTAGTGTAGTCCAGGACTGGGATGTAAAGTGGAGGGACCCTGGCTTCTGTTCCCTCCCCCTCAAGAAACCAGGATGGGGAGGCCCGCCCACTCTGGCCATGGCCTAGGGCTGTAGGCTGTGGCTTGCTGCTTGGGCCCAGGTCAGGGGTTTGTGTTTGAAGTGTGGAAATAGCCAGGTCTTTTCTTTGGGATTCTGCCCACTTCTAGCATGGTGCTGGGGGTGGGAACTGTGGGGTCCCCGGCCTCTTGTGCATTCCCCAGGACCAGCAGCTTCCTTGACGTCACCTGGGCCCATGTGCAGCTGTAACTGATGCTTCATAACTGTGCATTGCCGGCTGGGGAAGCTCTGTGCGTCGTGGACACTGATGGCCATGGTGCAGATCATTGGACCACTTGGTTTGGAGACAGCAGCGGTTCCCTGAGGGATCCGCACTCAGAATGGAGGAAGGGAAACCCTGAGGCTCCAAGACAGACTCTAGAATGTTCCAAAAGTCTGCATCTACCCCACCCCAGCYCCTGGATGCCGCTGTGTCGGGGTCAGAAGCCCACTCCAGGAGCCGGGGGTCCTGCTGCTCTGCTCTGGGCAAGGCGAAGGCCAGCAAGCAGTTTGGTCTAGAGCCACACAGCACTTTGCTCTTGTGTACATGTCAGATGCCAGACTGTAAGCCTGGGGTCGTTCTGCTTGCTATCTGTGTCCTCACTGCTAGTTTTAAGGACACTGATGGCTGGGCTGTTGTGTGGCCGCCCTTCCACGTCCAGTCCCTGTAGCTGCTCTGTTTAGACAGCGGTAGATGCTAACACAGAGAGGGACGTCCTCATACAGTCTGTAGCGCCGCGGTGTCCCCTCCCAGATGTGTATATTGATGCTAGGTCAGAAAGTGTATACACTACAATAAAGTTCTGGTTCTAACTCCAGCCCGAGTGGGGTCTGTTTTCTGCCTCGTTTTCACTCTGTTCCCTTGTTTCTTTCTGAGCCGAGAACGTAAGAACATAAAAAGGCTTTTATTTCTTTCAACTTGCCTTTATCTCATGACAAACAGTTACACAGACTCAGCCCACAACAGTGATATTGAACTAGCCTTTCCCATACAGAAACATGAAATGACTTAAAAAAATAGAAAATATTCTCACCAGGCACACAGACCATACACCCAAAAACTGCCGAGGGTGTGCAAGGCCTGCAGCCCACTCCATGGAGCACCCAGACTCGATTCAATAAATAACACAACACACGGACGTACGCGCGGTTTTTCCTATTGCAAAGAAGGCGGTGGCCTGATTAATTTCAGCATTTAGTTGGGAACAAAAGTGTGACCCACTAGCTACTGCAGATGAGGCAGGTACTCTGGTGGCACAACAGCTATTCAAAATGGAGAGAGCTGGCACCTGGAATCCCTTTTAGGCTGTGCACCTGGGCTGCTGAGGGGCAGCCGCTGCTGGCTCTGCTGAGTCTTGGGAGGCTTCTGAGAGATCAGCAGTGAGCCCAGCAGGTCCTGAGTGGGCTGCTCATGCATCAGCATTACCAGGGCTTTTTTATTTTAAAAAAAGGTTTTTGTTTGCAGTGCTAAGGATTAAACCCAGGGTCTCATGCATGCTAAGCACATGCTCTACCATCGGGCTCTGTCCCCAGCCCACTGTGGGTTTCTAAAAGCCCAAGTCCTAGTCTGGTGTGGTGGTGCACGCCTGTAATCCAGTGGCTCGGGAGGCTGAGACAGGAGGATCGTGAGTTCAAAGCCAACCTCAGCAATGGTAAGGCCCTAAGCAACTCAGTGAGACCCTGTCTCTAAATAAAATACAAAATAGGGTGTGGATGTAGCTCAGTGACAGAGTGCCCCAGAGTTCCATCCCCAGTACCAAAACCAAAAAAAAAAAACAACAAAAAAAACCCAAACTAAAAGCCTTAGCCCTGGCTGCCTCACCAGATTGGGCTTCAGAAAGCTGGGGCAGGCCCAGGAACCTGCAGTAGGGACAGCTGCACTTGTCCAGCCCTTGGGAAGCCTAAACCTGGACCATTTCAAACTAAGTGCCCTCAGAGAGAAAGACCCCACCCTGCCCAGCCAGTGATGGCTCCCAGCAGGTTCTCAAAGGCGAGCCCTGGGGGACATCAACCTGCCGAAGCAGGCAGCCTGTTCACTGTCACTGCACGACTCCACTCTGACCTTTCACCCTGACCAGGATGAGCTCTGCCAAGCTCACGTTTTTGTCCTGGACTTGGGGCAAGGCAGGCTCCTCCCCAGCAGTGGAGGTTCGGTAAATAGTTTGGCTACCCGCAGAGAAAAAAGGTGGGGCATCCTGTACCCGAGGGTCACTTCAGCAGTGAAGAGCAAGCATCCCTGAGTCTAGAGTGTACCCTGGCTTCTTTGGGAGCTGCCTGGGACTTGGTCAATGGAGGACACGCAGGGTGGGCCACACAGGTGGCCGAAGGATAGCTGGGGATTGAGGTGTCCTGTCTGGACAAGAGGCCAAGGTGGGGAGCCTGGGAAGAAGGCTCCCCCAAGAGGAGGTCAGTCTGCTGGGAAGATCCACCTGCTGGAAGACTTGGGGTGCCAGTCCTCAGACGAGAGCAAGGTACAACCTCAAGGTGCCCGGCTCACGGTGCTCTGACTAGGGACCCGGGACAGTGTCCCTCCTCAGCACAAGGATGCATGTCCACTTATGGCTGTTTGGTTCCTTAAACATTTCGAGTCATAAATAAATAACCAGTGTAAACAAAAGGCAATTGTGTGGCTCTTCCCCGTGAGGTGCAGTTCAGGTGTGTCCCCTTCTAGGACGGTTTGCCGGCGTGTGGCACCTGGGAGGTGGCTGCTATTGCCGGTTGTCCTTGGACACGTTGTGTGCCAGCCAGTTCACTTTGGTCTTCCAGCTCTCCCTCAGAGCTTCGTTGAACTTCACCCGGAAGTGCTTGAGCGCTTCCTCCTCCGTCTTGCCCAGCGCCAGAGAGTCCTGGGACAGAATTGTCATGGCAGGGTCAACACTCAGGGATCCTATCCCTGCAGCACCTGCAGCCCCTCCTGCCTCCCTGTACCTTTGCCCCCTCAGAGTATTTGAAATTCCATCCTTTTTTAAAAAATATTTTTTAGTTATAGTTGGACACGATACCTTTATTTGCATTTATTTATTCATTTTTTTGTGGTGCTGAGGATCGTACCCAGCGCCTTGCTAGGCGAGCGCTCTACTGCTGAGCCCCAGCCCCAGCCCCTTGAAATTCCCTCCTTAAAGAACTGCACGCAGGGGATTAGGAGCGAGCCACCCATATCTCCCTCTTTGGTCCCAGACCCACACAGAGCCCCTGGCCCAAAGGTGTCTTGGCCCTGAGGCCCCAGATGGCCAGGCAGCCTCATCTTGACCGCGAGAGGGCGGGGCAGCTTTCCGGAACGCCCTACAGTGTGCAGCCAGCCTTCACCCCCGCCCACCCTGCCTCACCAACGAAGGCACAGGAAGGAAAAGCGTCTTGTAAACCTAGAAGGAACCTGCAACTGGGCAAGACTAGGCCCCGGGAGCTCATGGCTCTGCCACTTCCCACTAGGCTGTTCTGCTGTGTCCAGGACGGCTTGTAGGTGGACTTCCCAGGTCCCTGAACTGCTTGGGCAGGACTTGGGAGGTGCACAGTGACCCTGGCCTCCTGCCTGGTGTGGCCCTGGGCTGGCATACCTTCAAATACTGGATGTCTTTGGAGCAGCTGAGCTCAGGCAGGCCTGCTGCCCGCATCAGAGCAAAGAGGTGGAGGAAGAGGAGCCCGTGGCGCCGCAGGATGGTATAGGCCCGCTCACAGTAGCCCCGGAACCTGCAGGGGAGGAGGCGGCAGGTGAGGCCTGGGTCCTCCCAGCCACGCCCAGCCCAATGCCAGCAGCTGGTCTGCATGCAACAGCAATTGCCCCTGAGTGTCTGCCTTTGGTCATGGATGTACCCAGTTCCTCTAACTAATGCCCCTGCCCAGGCCTCCTACACCACCCACGGACCTCCTCCCTGCACTGCCCAAGAGGGTGCTCTGGGGTTGGGGGTGCACCTGACAATAAGGCAGCATCCCCAGGGTGGAGACCAGAAGTTAGGCTGAGGGCCGAGTTCCTGTCCCTGCCGCCTGGCTGGGAACTGTCCCCTCACCTTTCAAACTTCTCACTGTTACTAGTCTTGCCCTGCTGAATCACGTGGACAAAGTCGTAGGTGAGGATGAACGGGACTCGCTCACGGTTGATTCCAAACTTGGTCTTGAAATTCCCCAGAAAGTGGCCAAAGTCAATGTGGAAGAGCTGAGGGGAGGGAAGGGCACAGACCGAATAGGTGTCACAAAGCCAGGCTCTGGGAACAGGAAGCCAGGAGGGCTTGGGGCACTCTTCTGGGAGCCATGTGCAGGGCAGAGGGACCAGTGGCCTAGGCTGGAGGACAGGCCTAGCCAGATGCCCACAGTGCCCCTTACCTGCCCACTCTCACGGATCATGATGTTGTCACTGTGCCGATCGCCGATGCCCAACACGTAGGTGGCCACACAGTAGCCGGCACAGGAGAGAGTGAACTCCTCAATGGCTCGATCTAGGGCCTCTCTGGGTAGGGAAGATTGAAAATCATGACCACACCGTGGAGTGGCTCCTTCTGATGGCCCTCCCCTTGAGTCTGGCCTTGTGACTTGCTTTAATCAACAGAACACAGAAGACATTATTCCAGAGCATAGGTCACCTGCCCAGCTTGAAGTCGCTCCCTCCTCCCACACACTCCCATGCAAAGGAGCCGAGGTTGATGTGTTAAATGAGGAGAGGCCACAGGAAGGGGCACAACTGACAGCCAGGTCCCTAGGCATGTGACTGGGGTCTTGGGAGATTCTCTGGGCTCAGGCAAAGCCCTGGAAGCCAGCACCAGCCATTTCAAACCCGAGCTGAACCACTCAGCAGAACCCACTCAAGCTGCAGATTTGTGACTGACCACACACAAATTTTGGCCTGTTTTAAGGCCCAAAGCTTTGAATAGCAGCGCAGAGCAATCAAAAACGGACAAGGAGGATAGTGACCTTCCCCCACCCCAGCCCAGACGTGGGCCAGGCCTCAGCTGAGCCGAGCAGCCACGGAGACTGCCACGGGCCTTCCCTCACCTCTCAGAAAGCAGCAAGCCTCCACCCGGGGCCTGAGACCTACCCAGGGTTCTTGGACTTGAGCCAGTTGAGCAGGGCATCCTTGTTGAAGGCAGCCATGGCAGCCAGGTTGCTCTGGTTCAGCTGGATGTTGGCAATGGTGTCCGAGTGCAGCACCACCTCGATGAGCCCCGTGCGGTCACCAGTGGGAAGGCAGCCGTAGGGGGTCATCCTAGCGTGTGAGAGGGGAGACAGGCAGACACTGTGCTCAAAAAAAGACACTGTGGTCCAGTCTCTGCTGCTGCTGGACCCAACAAAACTGCAGGGGACGCAGCCACTCAAGTTCCCGAGGAGGAGGAGGGAGGCGTGGGGCCCTGGGGAAGGTGCCTGGGGGACACAGCACTGACACCCGAGATGCAGAGCGCACCTTGGCCGGGCTCATGTTTGCTCTGAAGAGAATGAGCCAGAGGGCTTGGAGAAGATGCCGCTGCTCCCCAAGCAAGGGCAGGAAATGGGGGCTGAGCACCAGGAATGGCCTCGCCCTCTCCTCCAGCTGCTCTACCCCTCCCTGCTCTGTTTTGTTCTTTTCTTTTTTTTTTTTTTGTATTAGGGCCTAAACTCAGGGGTGCTCTGTCACTGAGCCACATCCCCAGTCCTATTTTGTATTTTATTTAGAGAAGGGGTCTCACTGAGTGGCTCAGCGCCTTGCCATTGCTGAGGCTGGCTTTGAACTCGCAATCCTCCTGCCTCAGCCCCCCGAGGTGCTGGGATTACAGGCCTGAGCCACCCTGCCCAGCTCCCTGCTCTTCTGAGAGCAGCCCCTCTCCCAGCTGACACG